GCGTGATGTCCTGCGGTCCTTAGGGCAGCCCGTAGGACTGCGGTACCCTCCCTCCTACCGCAGAGTCTCAGCTGGCGGGAGACTGCACTGGGATCTGAACGCCTACGTCACTTCTAACATGCTAAGACCTGCCTGCCTTTCATATTAAATTGTGCAACATTTTATTCTCCAGAAATGTTAAAAGGAAGATCTTCCTGTGAAATTAGCTTAGGAGAGGCCCGTATCAGCACGGAGTCGAGGGGCAGTGGAGTGGCTTTGAAACCACGACGACCCAGATCTGACCCCCCCACCCAGAAACCCAGTGAGGACGCAGTTCCTCTTCTGAAGGGGTTGTGTGAGAATGAAGTGAGGTCATGCGAGGAAAGTGGTCATCATGGGGCCCAGCTCAAGTGAGGCAGTTGGGACGTGCTTTCCTAGCAGGGGTCCTGGTCCACAACCTGCGGCCTTTAACTTTGTGAGAAAGTTATGAAAATGCTTGTCTGTTAAAACTGGTGCGGTGGCTCGTGCCTGTAATCCTAGCACTCTCGGAGGCTGAGGCAGGAGGATCGCTTGAGCCCAGGAGTTGGAGGTTACAGTGAGCTCTGATGACACCACAGCACTCTACCCAGGGTGACAGAGCCAGACTCTGTCTCAAAAGGGTCATGTGTTACAGAGACTATTACAGGGGATTGGGGCTGGCCAGGTGTCCCTTGGTGGTGGGTTGCCCTCAAGAGTGAGCACCTTCCTACGTGGTGCAAGTGTTACTCAGTGGACCACATCCTTCTATCCTTGAGTTCCCAGGTAGGCTCTGGTTGGGAATTGGCTTTCACAATCCTGGCCCGTGCCCTGTGCCTGGCCTCTGCAGCTCTCAGGACTCCTGTGGGCTAATGAGGCCACGGAATGTACTCTGTGGATAGATCTGTCTTATCACTCACTTATTTCTGGGTCAGAATCATTTGAGCCCCAGGTCTTCTAGTTGACCAGTGTAGGCTTGGCTTAGCATGGTGAGTCCCTTGCTCCAGGGGGACCCTGAGTGAATCGCTCCTCCCCACAGGCTGCTTCCTGAACAGACTAGAGAAGGCTGAAGCAGATTACAGGGTCTCAGCCCAGCCAGGGAGAAACCCGCCGGCTCCCGTGCCCTGGGGTCTCTGCTAGCCTGCCTTGCTCCTGGAGCCCAGACTGCATGGAGCCCATGGCCCCGTTGGTCCTGAGAACAGGACGGTGGCTGACTGGACCAGCCCAAGGAATAAGCATCCCTCCCTCTGTGCTCTTCTGCTCAGGGAGACACAGGCGTTGGCCCCTGGGAGTCCCCTGCACGGTCACTGGTGTCCGTGGATTGGGCTTCTCCTGCCTGTGCTGTGTGCCAAGGCCCATTGCGTAGCTGGTCCCCTCTGCCCTCCAGAGCTGAAGAGGCAGGAGGAGGGGCCTGTGCTTTCAGCCCGCAGCAGACTCCTTGGAGGCCTGGTGACCTGCTGGTGTCCCCACCCCCCACTGCTGCTCACCCCCAGTGTGTGTTGGAATCACTTTCCAAACATCATGACCTTGGGCCTGGGCCTCCCCGGGGACTCTGCACCCGGGGAGAGCTGCCTGTCAAAGCTAGATGCTTTGAGTGCAGCCTCTTGTCTTGTTGGCCTCTGTACCCATTAATACCTAGAAATTTGATAAATGCTTGTTAAACTGAGCCGAGATAAATGTCGCATGCAGTGGGTACCAGTTGGCAGTCCGGCAGGCCGAGCCGGCCACACAGGTGGGACACCATTTCCCCCTTGGCCCTGACATCAGCCGGGTGATCTGCGCTCAGTCCTGCACTGTTGGAGTCTGCACCAGCGTGTGCAGAGAAGGGCTGGGGGACGCCACAGCCCCCAGCCCCTCTGTTTCATCCTCAGACCTTGGGCCTTTTGCAGATTTAAATATTAATCAGCTGGTTCACTGAGCTGTGGCCTCACCTTTGGGCCTGTCAGGTGCCCTGTGACAGGAATCTGATCCTTCATTCATCCCTCCCCTCCCGCCCTTCCTGTATCTTCTCTCAGGAATAGAGTTTTTGTTCTGGCAGCTTGGGCGGGTGGCTGAGTTTCCCCAACCGGAATTGAGTAACCTTTAGTGCATATGCAAATCCAGCGTTTGAAATTTCGGTTCTCTGAGGCCTTGTTATTCCAGAGGACAGCAGGCTTCCACTAGCTGAGTTCAGTCCTGGCTTCACACCCACTCTGGCATGTGTACCTGCACCCCAGGAACTGGCTGCTGCTCTTGAGAGTCACAAAGGAGGAAGCAGGTCCCTTGGCAGGAGGAACAGGAAGGTCGAGGTGGCTGTGTGGTGGCACAGATGCTCCCACCAGCCTTGCACCTGGCCAGCCCCCAGAACTCGAGTCCGGCCAAGAAGGGACCTAGCCAGGGTGGGGGAGGTGTTCACCTCCCTGGATGTGTTTTACCCTCTGGACCTGGCTTTATGAAGTGTCAGTGAGTTACACTAACTCAAAGCTCGCCCTCGGATGCCACAGACAATCCCCCTGCCACCAGCCGGACCATGGCAGACTCCTGCCACAGTAGGCCTGCGTCAGTCACACCTTTCCCCTGCATGTCGCATCTCAGGGAAGGAGAGGCCTGGCAGCTGTCACGGGACCACATCAAACCCTTTTGCTTCCAAGGTCTCTTCCTGGTAATGGCTCTGCCCGAGGTGCACCTGCCTGGCCGCAGGAGCCTCCTAACTCGTGTGTGTTAGGACACACTCGTGTCCTGTCCATTTTCCAGAGACATCCTGTTATAAAGAAATGTGATCGTGTCCCAGTCTTGTAGCCTTCTGGTGGCTTCCCAGGGGATCCCAAGTCCTTGCGTGATCTGCTGGCCCTTCCAGCCCGTCCGGGCAGGTTCACACTTGCTGCCTTCCCCGGACTATCACATGGCCTGTCCCCTCTCCTAAGGTCCCTGCTCAGAAGCCCTCCCTGGCGTTTTGGGTCCCCTCGCCCCACAAGACATCCCAGAGCTGTGTGTTCATGGCTGGTCTCCCCGAGTGGCCCCCAGGCTCCAGGGCAGCCCTGATGCGGGTTTGGTTTGTGCTGTGTCTGCAGCCTCTGAAACCACGCCTGGCAGGGGTGGGAGCCCCACGAAGGCTCGTCCAGTTAATGCTTGAATACTGACTCCTTCCTCCTAGTCGGTGAGTGACAAGGGAGTGCACGTGCCCCAGATAGATGCTCTTCGGAGCCTGCAAGAGTTGATTTTGCCTATTAGGTTCTGTGGCTTTTACCCATCATGCCACTCCCGAGAGAAGCCTGACTTCACAGGTATTGTGTAGGTAGCAGATGGTGGCCGTGACTCAGGGCTGTGTGAATGGCCCCAGTCATGGCCTCCTAACGTGACTCCACCCGGGCGATGTTCCTACGTGGAGTCTGGGGCTTCACCCCACTTGGGGAGGGTCTACTCAGGGCTGGGTCGTTCCTACAAAAGTGAGAGCGCTGGCAATTTCAAGTGTCAGTTCTTTCGAAAGATGTCAGGTTTTCCTACAGAATCACAGCTTTTCTCCATATTGGCTTCATTCTCTGTGCCTTATGAGAAATCCAATTTCTCTGCAGTTATTTTCCTCATATTATCAACTAATTGATTTTTTTCAAAGTTTTGAACTAGAGTGTTTTGCAATTTTATGAGGACAATATAGAAAATTCCATGACAAGAACAGCAGAGGTTTTCCTGCGGGGCTCAGGGGTGCAGGTAGCCTGAATCATTAACCACTTCCGTACAGCGCTCACCGGCGTGAAACCTTGCCCACAGCCGGCACTCACAGTCCGCACGGTAGCTTGTGCTGTGCATTGGCGACGATTCCGTTTTGCTCTTGTGTGATGAGGAAAGCTTTAAAGCACTGAAAGCTTGTTTTACTTTACAGGCAGCTTTACTTGTAATGTAAATCAGAACAGGTAACATATACATATATGTTTTCATTACGTTATTTTTAAATGTTCACAATTTTATTTTGATACATGAAAAATTAGAAAAATCATATCACGGCTGTCGACTAAAATCGCTGTGTGCATTCATCTGTGGCTATCGACTATAGTGGATGCTGGTACTGAAGTGGTTAACCTGAGACCTCAGGGTTGGGGGTGGTGGGGACACAGACTAGAGCACATGACTCAGGCAAGGGACAGCCCGCGCCAGGCATTTCCGAGGCCGCTGTTTCCCGTCTTTACCAAGGTATGACCCGCCCTTGCTCTGAACCCTGGGAGGACACCAGGTGAAATCATGCTTAGACAGCTGCCCTGGCCAAGGTGTTTCTGCTGGTGCCAGGTGAGGCGCCTTGTCCCCATCGATCCTCTCGGTGACTTCCCGCAACAGTGCTCTGGGCGAGGTTCCACCATTATCCCCAGTTAGGAGGTGCCGCAGCGACATGCTAGTCAGTGGCAGAACCAGGAACTAACCCGGCCACCCACTCCGGAGACCCTGCTCCTAACCAGCAGCTCAGACACCAGCCTCGGGGGCGTGGGGGAGCAGGTTTAAACTGAAACCAGATCAACTCAGTTCCTCTGTCACACTAGCCACATCAAGTGGCAGTAGTCACACACGGCCACTGGCTGCCGTCACCACGACACTGCCTGTGTCCACCAACACGGGAAGCGCCACGGGCAGCCCTGCTCCAGGCCGTGCCCCCCCAGTGCTCCCTGTGGCTTGTTAGGGACGTTGGGGCACAGCTAGAGCAGGCTGATGGCTGTAAGGATTCTGTCACTTGCTGTGCTTGCTTGCTTTGTAGAAAAATAAGCCTTGGATCTTTGCAAGAATGTCGTGATTTCTTTCACAGGCATAATTACATGTTCCAAGTCAAATTGCAGTTCAGGAGAAGGTTATAAATCCCTTCTCAGTAATACCGCACTCGTGTTGTTCCTCTCCTGGAAACCAAGAGAAAGGTAACTGAAGAAATTCTGGCGGCCCCGTAAAACCTCAGGTTCCTCATTTCTCTGGCAGTCAGGCCCCAGGGTCGCAGCAAGGGCCCAGGACTGACAGGGCGAAGCCTTCATCTGCGCTTCGTGTCTCTGCAGGGCGGCAACGACCACGAGATCTTCACGGACCCGAGAACCGTGGGCTTCGCCGTGACGGCGCCCGAGGACACTCGCAGGATCTGTGAGGAGCTCTTCTCCTGATGGGGGGACGGGCCCTGGCTCCCGGCCCGAAAGGGTCATGTGGTGGCGGCAGCCCAGGGCCCTCCCACACCTGCACACCCGTCAGCCCTGGCCACCTGGTCACCAGGGTCTGCACCTCTAGTGCCTCAGGGAACCCGCCCCCCCCATCCCCGTGCCAGGAGCAGCCAGAGGGAGGAGGAAAGACTCTCGGGAGTGGCTCAAGGGCTATCTCCAGCACAAGATTCGTCCCCACCCCCAGTGTAAGCCCCCAACTTCCCAGCATCCTAGGGTGACGCAGAAGGAATGTGTCTGACCCTCCCTCTTTACGGGCCTCACGAAGAGGTAAGAGGGGCTGGTGTTTGGACCCGTGTCAGCCCCAAAAAGGCAGCTCTGCTATGAGAGAGAAAGGGTAGGGCATCTGCAGTGACCCAACGGGTGACAGGTTAGAAACACCAACGGACGAAGCTCCCTCCACGTGGCAGGACAGGGCTGTGGCCGTGGGGCAGCGTGGGGCTGAGGCTGCGTGCGCCATCTGCCCAGCCCCTTCCTGTTGGTGGGGCCGAGGCTGCCCGGCAGACGGCTGTCCCGGGACTGTGGGCCCGAGGCGTTTGCACTCGGCTGGCCCAGAGCTCAGGCCACTGCACCTCGAGCGGCCTGGCTGCTGTCCGGTAACCGTCAAGACGGGTGGAAATCGGAACCAGCGACTCAGTGGAGAACCAGCGACTCAGTGGAGAACTGGCACTGGCAAAACGGCCCCTCCCCTGGCGGGTTCAGAGAAGCCAACTTGGGAGGCCAGACTTCACCAAAAGGACCTTCTCGTTGGCCTTCCCAGGGGCTGGCCTGGTGTCTCAGGGGTGGGGACACCGTGGCTGGAGAGCAGGAGCTGCGCTTTCCTGTAAGCGCGTCCACCCACCCGGCTCTCGCCCAGACCAGCCTGCTCCCCTCACTCCCCCCTTCCACATTCTGCAAGTTCTTTGGGAAGCAGGAAGGAAGTTCGCAGGCCTTGTCCAGAACACGGTGGAAGAGAACTTGCCACAGAAACGGTTCGAATGCTGCTGTCCAGGGTGTGGAAACCCTGGGGCCCTTGCACCCTCCGCAGCCTGGTGCTGGGGCGGCCTGAGCCTGCCACTCTGCACCTCCCGCCACCCAGCCCGCAGCCAGGCCCCTCCAGACGGCCCAGCCACTCCTCCCGACTGTCTGGGCTCACTCGGGGCAGGTGGGGAGAAAGCAAGAAGCTCCTCATCTTGGTGATCCCTAAGACGTGGCCAGCCGGTGGCATCTCCCCATGTTGAATGTTGCAAATAATACTGTAATGACCCTTCCAGATGAAAGGCAGCACATTAAAAAGATTTTATTTCCTATTTCTAATTGATTACATTCTCCTCTGTTGATTGGCAAGTGAGTGGTCAAGCGAGAGATTTGCAGTTGTATCTTCTTAGGTTCTGGATGGAAACCTCAGCCCTTCTAGATCTGAGAGCCCCTCTTCCTTGCTCTGGTATTTCTCTAATGCCAGGAGCCCCTCACTCTGTCCACATTTCACGTTTCTGTTCCTGACACATACACTCCCCCTCCCCTGCTTTTCTGCCTAAATTCCCTAAATATTTCCTTGTTGTGTCAAAGCAACACAACTGAGTCATACTCAACTGAATCTTAACCCTCCCTGTAACCCACTGCCTGAGGCTGCCAGCTGGGCCACCACGGTCCTTCCCCAGTTCCCACAGTGGCCGTCTCAGACCCTGCCAGACCCCTCGAGCCCAGCTCGCCCTTCCCCGCACCCTCCCTCTACACGGTCAGAATTCCCTCCCCGTTTTTGGCCCTGAACTACAGCCAGCAGTTTGCTGGAGCTGTTGGTTTCAAGCAGGAGCCTAAAGAATTCTGTTTCTATGTTCTGTTGGCCATTTCAAAACTTTGGAAGTGTAATGGTCAATTCATTGGAAAAAAACATCTGAGTCATTTAAAAAAAAAAAAGGAATTTCCTGCACCTCCTTCCGTCTTGTCATCCCATTGCCACAGTCCACCTTCAGAGGCACCGTGCTGGTTACATACGGCAATGATGGCTCGATGACACGTACGCGGCCCTTACAGGGTGGCAGGTGCAGCATGTGGCAGGTAAGAGCCGGTAGCCACGGCTTAAAGCCTAGTTCCACGGCCCAGCGGCTGTGACCCGAGCCAAGTTCACCTGGGCTTCAGCTTGCTCATCTGTAAATGGGATGGTCCTCACCACATAGGGAATTAAGCAAGCTAATTTCTGTAAAGCACTTGGAACACTGGGTGTGAACCGCCGAACCGCCCAACCGCCACCCAGAGGTACAGTCATCCCCTGGGCCTTGGGGAGTTGGCAGGATGAAGACACCATCACAGGAAACCGAAGTGCAGGCAGTAAGTGCGGAGCCAAGGCAGGTCACCGAGGCTGCGCCCAGGCCGCCCCACCCAGGCACTGCAGAAGCTAACCCTGGGCTCGACGTCACCCAGGTTTAAGAAGCCTCCGGGGAAAGGCCCAGGTTGAACCTGAGCAGCTCGAGAGTAGAGGGCAGGGGCCGGCCGGGGAAGGAGCTTGCACGTGGTCTGGAAGGCGGGGCGGGGAGACCTGAGATCTGCCCACACTTGGGACGGTCTCTCCAGCTACGGGTGGGCAGTGAGCAGAGGGGCCGGGAGAGGAATGTGTTGGGCAGATGTTGCCATAACGCGGGTGCAATCCAGGTGTGTGTGGCTTTGAATCACTTCCTCTTTCCTCTTCTTCCTCCGCACCCCTGGATCCCGGCCCCACCTGGCCACCTCAGCCCAGGCAGGCGCCTCCCACTCCAAACAGAGGCAGCCAGGCCTCCAGGCTGCCTCCTGCCCCCACTCTGCCCCCCACAGCACCCCAAAGTCAAGTGCTAGAACTCACTCCACCTCCTTCACCGACGCTGTTTCCCCAAACGTTGCGCCACGCCCCTGCTCATGCCACCCTCGCAGCACCCAGCACAGCGATCAGCAACTCTCACCGTTTCCAGCAAAGCACCTGCTTTGGCCTCTCCCTACACGGGTTCGATGGGCTGGTTATAATGTTTCTCCAAATGCTCTGAAAATCATATTATTAACAATATATGTATGCATCTCTGCACCACCAAAAATCACTACCTTCCTTGGGAAACAATGGCCAGGGCGAAGCGTTCCTAGCAGGTCACAAAGTCCCTCCCAGAACAGCCTCTGCCGGCCGTGGTCGCCCCAGCCCCCTGCACTGCCCCGACGCCCTCACTACTGTCCTGGACGTGAAGGACAGGGGCTCTCATGCCTCCCAACCACCCAGGCCCTGGCTCCTGCTGCCCCATCAGCCCACTGTCCCCACCCCAAGAGCTGGCCAGCACCCGTGCTGTGGGACATCCATCCTGGCACTCTCCTCCTGCCAGCCCCTGGACCCTGGGGTGGGGGCAGCCTCACCTGAGTGCCTGGGGGCAGCGAGCCTTCATCTTCTACCTGGGCAGGAGCCCCTTTCCTCCCACCCTCCCACCACATCCTAAACGCTTCGACAGGGCAATGGCCACAGCCAACCACGCAAACGCCATGCAGCCACGTTCTGCGGCTCAACTGTCCTACGCTAGAAAATGATGATCGAGGAAAAAACCGACCCCATCTTCTTGTTCCCTGCTCCCCCCAAAACAAAACCAGACTGCAAAGTGGAATATGTCAGCCCCGTCAGGGGGAGACACTGTCACCTGCTGGCTTAAAGGAACCGCTCCCAGGTGAGCCGGGCCCCATAGCGAGACACACACACAACCTTGCACAAAAACAAACTTTATTGAGAGAAAGGTGGCTGGCGGGAGGAAAGACCCAGATTCTAGTTCCAACTTGGTCACCAACACCCTGTGTCCCTCTCAGAGCCTCAAGGGGTTTCCCATCTGTCCCAGTAGACAGTCTGTGTCCCTTCCGGCTCTAGAACGCTCATCGACTGGAAAAGATGTGGCCACGCAGGCAGGACAGAGCAAGAGCCGCTTACAAAGGGTTCTGCCTAATGAGAATCCAAAGGTCACCTCTGAACAGCAGAACGCGACTCCCAGGCTCGCTGTGGGCCAGAGCCTCCTGGGGCACGGGCAGGTGGGGTCACCATGGGCTCTGACAGCGCCAAGGCCAAGACAACGGCGCGGAGCTGGGGGAGCCGGACAAGGCTCCCAGGCTGGGGAGAACTCTTGGCAGAAGGGGCTTTGGGGCGTGGTCTGTACCCAACAGAGAGGAGAGGCCCCGGGGAGCCACCTGGGGAACAAGCCAAGGCTGGAGGGGGAAAGGCCACCTTTGACCCAGCCAAGGTGGAGTCGGGAGTGGAGGGGGGACTCCGGGAAAAGTGGTCGCGCTACTCAAGCCCACGGGGAACAGGGCACGGCTCACGCGTTGCCTGTGCGTTTCACTGCACACACGCAACCAACTCACTTGCCTGTTTTAACACAACTCCCTTCCACCCCTCCCAAAGGAAGGGGTTCTGGGGCGGGAGGACGAGCACATCCATCCACAGGGTGGGGACCCCTGACGAAGCCATCGGTGCCCGCTGTTCTCTGCCCCAGGGCCGCCGTCTCAAAAGGTTTTTGCTGCCTGCGTTGAGGCGCGGATTCTTGGCTACGTAGAGGCCGTGTATTTCCAAACGTGCTACCCAGCTAGTTCTACTTTTAAATCACAACTAAAGCCAAACCGAAACCCACAGCAAAGAAAATCCTAAGGATCTGTTGACTGAACACAGCTGGTTCTGGGCGAGAGCTTTAAGTGATCAAAAACGAGGAAAAAAGTCCCTAAGCGTTTCCTAACAGCAGTTGTGAAGACAAGCCCTCACCAAGGGCGCATTTCTCCTGCAGCGCCTGACTTGACCAGAAGGCCATGGCGAAGGACGCTGCCTACTCCCTGCTTTTCAACAAAGACCCTCCCCCTCGCCACGAGCCCTTCTGTGACCCACCTGTCACCTGTCACCCCCCCAGCCACCAGCAGACAGAGGGACAGATCCGGCTGTAAGAGGAGCCTCCCGGCACCAACACCCAGGGTCAGGGCTCCGGGACAACGCATCTTCCCCAGACAGGCAAAGGCACCAAAAGGGAAAATCCCTCCGATCCAAAGAAAACCACCCCCCTGATCGCCCTTAAAGCCAGCTCCCCTAGAACCAACCGAGAGTGAGAGGAATGCTCGGGCCAGGGTGCAGGAGACACACGGGAGGGGCACTCGGGTGGAAATCCACCCTGGGGAAGTCACGCGGGGCCATGGCATCCCCGCGGGCCAGATCTGGGGATCAGGAGCCTCCCACTCCAGTGGGAAGAGGGACCCTGGGGGCTCCCCTGGGGGGGGGGGGGGGGGACACCACCTGCCACCCACACCCTGGGCAGCGCCGGGCCCCTCCACTCAGCCACCGGCGGGCGCCTCTCCTTTCAAAATGCTTTTAATGCTTTTTCAGGTGGTGAGAGCTTGTTGCGATGGTCAGAGGCTGCACTGGTGGCCGCGAGCACCCCCATACCTGCCCCCCCTTTCTGCAGGAGGGACTTGAAAGTGACCGTGCCCCACCCTCGAAGCCCCATCTCGTGTGCTAGAACGTCGTCTCCAGTGTGGTCCTGCCTCCTCCCCCACAGTCTCCCACCAGCCCAAGAGAAGGGGTGCCTCCAGCGTCCCCTAGGAGCTGATGACGTGTCCGGACCAGGTCTCGTGCTTTGTGCCGGGCGCCAGGTGGGTGATGACTACCTCCACGGCCTGCAGCTTCTCGTTCTTGGGCGGGATGGAGCACATCTTAAAGGTGACCTCGTCGCCTTCCACCGGGACATACTCCCCTTCCACACTACGGGAATGCAAAGAAACCAGTCAGCGCCCACGCCCAGGACGCCGGCACCCTTCTGCTCAGAGGGCCACCAGAGCGGACACCCGTCTCACTGGCCCCCTGGAACTGCCCTCCCCCCAGCGGGAGCCGCCACGCTGCCCCGTGCCCTGGCCAAGGAGCTCCTGACCCAGTCACCTCCTGGCCTGGGACTCTCGATGCTGGGATGGCAAGACACAGCTCGGCCACCTGTGGGTGGTCACGCTGTGGCACACAACGTGAGAGCCTGCACTCGTGCACGGAAGAGCAAAGACAGCCAGTCTGAGCCAGGGAGACGAGGCCACCACGCATGAGGATCGGAGGTGAGAGACCGCCTGGGTGAGGGTTTCCCGAGTTCCTCAGCACAGCGGCCCCCAGTACCAGGGGATCCCCAAAACTGAGCTGTGTCTGCTCTCAAAGCCCCAGATAAGTCCCTTTTGTGCTTAAAGCTAGTTCTCCTGGGGGGCAGTCTTCTCCCTTGTGAGCACCCCCAGGAAGGTTCCCTTACGTTGTAGGGGACACGAGTCCCTATTTCACAGTGACATTGGCATCTTGATGTTCCCTTGGGACCCCAGGAGGAAATTCCCCTTCGGACCCTGAAGGCCAGGGCTAGCCAGCTCCCCCAGAACTGGCGTGATTATAGAATCATTCAGTGAACATTCAGCGTTTCCCTCTTTGATCTGGTCACCAGGAAGCTCAGGAACCAATGTGCAGCCCACTGCTAGCAGCAGAACATCACACACACCACAGTGTCTCCATCTTCCCTACCTGCCCCCACGCCTCCCTTACGAACTCACTGCAAACCACTACCAATTCTTCCTGGAAGAGGCTGTGTGGAAACACACGTACACACCCGTGTGCATTCATGCGCACATGCGACACATGGCTTTGGCATCTTTCTCGTGCCCGCGCTGTGCGGGGGCCTTTGGTAGATCTGATAAGTAAGGACATGGGGGAAGGGGTGGCCCAGCCGACGCTGTGCAACAGGATCCTACTTTAAAAAAATGTGGGCCGGGCGCGGTGGCTCACACCTGTAATCCTAGCTCTCTGGGAGGCCGAGGCGGGCAGATTGCTCGAGGTCAGGAGTTCAAAACCAGCCTGAGCAAGAGCGAGACCCCGTCTCTACTATAAACAGAAAGAAAATAATTGGCCAACTAATATATATAGAAAAAATTAGCTGGGCATGGTGGCGCATGCCTGTAGTCCCAGCTACCTGGGAGGCTGAGGCAGAAGGATCACTCGAGCCCAGGAGTTTGAGGTTGCTGTGAGGTAGGCTGACGCCACGGCACTCACCTAGCCTAGGCAACAAAGCGAGACTCTGTCTCAAAAAAATAAAAAATAAAAATGTGGATGCTGTTTGCCAGGTCTGCGTGCGGAGCAGGACTGTGCCCGCCACTGCCTCCAAAGACTGGGGGTGCTTAGGCCAGAGAAGGGGGTGGGGTCGAGAGGTGCCAGACTGAGGGTCCTCGAACACCTAAAGGCTGCCCAGAAGATCAACGGTGAGGCCCCGAGGCCTGGGCTGTGAGGGCCCCGCCCAGGGCTCCCCGAGGGCTTGCGGACACTCAGGAAGGAAGGACGTCAAGGAGCAAGTGGCAGAAGGGGTCCCGCCCCACACTTCCTTCCCGGGGCAAAGGCGCTGGGCAGCCCCCGCCTCACCGGGCACTGCCCCCAAGGCCCGGCAGGAAACCAGGCCGCCGGCCAAACGCGCCTCCCCCAGCTCACAGGGGCGTCCTTGCCACTGGCCACACACATGTGGGCGCTCAGACTCACCCCGGCAGGGCTCAACTCACAGACACACAGACAGACACACACACCACGCACAGCTGCCCCCCACAAGCATGGCCGGACACCCCTGGGCGCGCACGCACACACGAAACCTTACACAACCATTCCCAAAGACACTCCCAGTCACAATCACACATGCAGTGTCGCCTGCAGCCTCACACACCCAACACCTCCAGGTACAGTCTCACCCCCACACAACCACGAATGCCCGCACCCAGCGCCCGTCTCAGGCACACACTGTCCCCACCTCCGCGGGGCCAGGGCAGCGCCCATGCCCAGCCGGACCGCCCAGACCCGCCATGGACTCACTCAGAGATGTGCAGGAAGATGTCGGGGCCGCCATCAGCCGGGGTGATGAAGCCGTGGCCCTTGGACCGGCAGAAGCACTTGCAGACTCCTTTGTAGACGGGGCCCTGGGAAGCCCGCACCGTCCTGGCAGAGAGAGGGAAGCGTGGGGGACCCCCGTCAGCCCTCCAGGACAGCCACCCGCTCTCCTGGGGCACATCCCACTCATCCTAGCCCCTGCCACAGCTGTGCCTCGGGGAGTCCCGGCCAGGGCCACCACGTACAGCTGTACAGGTTGTGCACTGCACCACTCTGGGAGCCATTCACACAGCCTCTGGTAAGAATGACTCTCTAGGCCGGGCGCGGTGGCTCACGCCTGTAATCCTGGCACTCTGGGAGGCCGAGGCAGGCGGGTTGCTCGAGGTCAGGAGTTCGAAACCAGCCTGAGCAAGAGCAAGACCCCGTCTCTACTATAAATAGAAAGAAATTAATTGGCCATCTGATATATATAGAAAAAATTAGCCGGGCATGGTGGCGCATGCCTGTAGTCCCAGCTACTGGGGAGGCTGAGGCAGGAGGATTGCTTGAGCCCAGGAGTTTGAGGTTGCTGTGAGCTAGGCTGACGCCACGGCACTCACTCTAGCCTGGGCAACAAAGTGAGACTCTGTCTCAAAAAAAAAAAAAAAAAGAAAATAGAGAATTAAACTAAAAGATCTCTAAGCACCCTTCCAGAGGCTAATTAGTTTTGTTTGTTTTTCTGTTTTTTGAGACAGAGTCTTGCTCTGTCACCCAGGCTAGCGTGCAATGGTGTCGTCATAGCTCACAGCAACCCCAAACTCCTGAGCTCAGGCAATCCTCCTGCCTCAGCCTCCCGAGTAGCTGGGACTACAGGTGCGTACCAGGATGCCCAGCTAATTTTCTCTATTTTTAGTAGAGACGGGGTCTCGCTCTTGCTCAGGCTGGTCTCTAACTCCTGAGCTCAAGCCATCCTCCTGCCTTGGCCTCCCAGATGCTAGGATTACAGGCGTGAGCCCCGGTGCCCGGCCCTAGAGACTAACTGTCAATTATTAATAACCGCAGCAGCCTCCACTCCCTGGGTCTGAGATCTGCGTCGAGTGGGTCCTTTGCATCCCCGTGGCCACCCTGCTCCTGTCCTGGTTTTACAGCTGAGGAAACCAGGGTCTCACGGCGGAAGAGGCTCATGTGTGGCTAAAGCCCAGTGATTTCCAGACTGCAGCCATTTCCCACTCACCGCCACTCCCGGCTCGGAGCAGGCTCTCGCGGGCGGGGCAGCACCCTCGGTGCCCAGAAGGCGGCTTCCCGGTGTCTCCCCGTCAGCCTCGCCCCAGCCCCGAGTCTCCCTGTGTGCCAGCAGGGACACACAACCCGAGATGGCCAGAGACACGGTGAAGCTCTGGCCTCCGGCAGGTGACCGTCCCAGCAGCGTCCCCAGCCAGCCCCAGACTCACGCTGAGAAAGTCCTTGTCCGGCGAGTGGGCAGTGGGCTCGGGACCACATTGTGGGCCTGGGGGACATCCAGCAGCCCAACCGAAGCCTCTTGGGTGGGGGGCTGCGGCGGTGGGGGAGGCTCAGATGACATGGCTGACCTGGAGAGAGATGGGGGGCTCTCAGGGGCTCACACCTTGCCAGGCAGGGGCCCGATGCGCCCGACCTGCAGGTCTGAGCCCTCCACCGGGGACACATGCCTCGAGACTTCCTCACCGAGGAGGTCACCTTGCAGGGAACACGCCCAGCAGGGTCAGGTGCCTTCTCTGGGCACCTGCAGCAGCCGCGGGTCTGCCCTGATCATAGCTCTGCACAAAAACGCCAAGTCTTCCCTCGCCAGGACGGCACAGGTCCCCTCCATGTCCCCAGCGCAAGGCGCAGACCCTGGCACACTCGGGAGGTTGGTGAGAGGGAGGGGGCGGGGCAGGAGAGCGGGCAGAGGCCTCGGCCACCTGCAGCCGGCCCCCAGCCCCCACTAACACTCCCAGCCCTGCTCTGGGCTACCTCCGGGAAACTCCGGAACACGCACACCAGAAAGAGCTCCACCCCCAGTCTGGATCCCCTAAGGGCTGTCACAAGCCTTTCTCCGGTAGGCCAGCCAGAAGGACCCCAAGGAAGGGGAGTTTGAGGGCTGCAGCCGCCAGGCCCTGTCCACAGATCCAGGCCCGGCTCACGGGTCCCTGTTATGAAACCGGATTCCCTCGGTGACCCCAGCCAGCGTGCACCAGAATTCGGGGAGACCCGCGGCTGCAGGGGGGGCTCCCTAGCTGCCGCCTGCTTCTGTCAGTCCTGCAAGAGCAGGACACGCCGCGGTCCACAAGGAACACCCGGCGTGCACCAGGAAGGTGTCAGCTCTGACACAGCCACGTCAAGGTCCCGGGAAAGAGCAACAGCTGGAGGCAAAGGCCCTCAAGCAAGTCCTTTTCCTCTCTGGGCTCAGTTTCCCCATCTGCAAAGTGGGGCAGCTGGGTGGGCGATGGGGGCCAAAGAAGAGGCTTTGCCAGCTGGGCTGAGGAGGGGCCTGGACTCGGGAGGTCACTCAAGTTCACACAGCCAGGGGACAGGAGCAGATTAGGGTGGGGAGTTGATCCAGCTCCCCTGGGGCTTTCAAAGTCAAAATATGAACTATCTTTTAGACATCCAGGAACGTGCCTCAAGATCTAGGTTTCCTGCTATTCTTGAACAGAACTGGAAGCTCTGGCAAGCCTGAACCCCGCACTGCTCCCCGACTCCCTCGTTTCCAGGGGCTTCTGCCACCAGCACCCAGCAGGGCCACCTCTGCCTCCAACCCCGACTGCCCAAGAACCAGGCCCGGCACCTCCCCCAGAAGGACAAAACCTCTCTCTCCACGTTCCCCCACACTCCCCTGTCAGGACTCGGTTCTGTCCAGCTGGGAAGGGAGGTGACCGGCTGGCCTTCTGGAGGAAGTGACATAGCTACCTCCCGACCCTCGTCTCAGCTGCAGCCGCGGCCAGGGAGGACCGCGAGGCCAGGGAGCCCCCAGCTCATAAAGGCCCCGACTGCTCGCCTGGGGCCAGGGCTCCAGCGTGACCCCAGCAGCACAGGTCATAGAGTCCTAGAATGTTCCAAGGACCGGGGTTCTCGGAAGGTGGCTGGCCCAGACAGGGAAGGGCCCCGCCCAGGCCTCCCAGGACAGCAGGTGGGACCACGGTGGCCTGGCGACAACAGGGTGAGACAGGGCACTGCCTTCTCCTCTTCTACCCAAGCCCCCTTCCCTCTTTTCTCCTGCAGTCAGACACATCTCACGTCAAATCCCACCACCTGGCAGCTGTGTGATCTCGGGCAGGTTATGTAACCTCTCTGGGCCTCGGTTCTGCATGTGGAAAATAGGAATTTTAGCAGTCCCCACTTCGCACCACCATCATGAAGCTGAAAGGAAATAACACACACTGAGCCCTCCGCCACGCCGTCCGCCCAGGGTTTCCTGCCCTGCTTTGGGGGCAGTGCCTGTCGGCTATGATTGCTGTCATAACTGTCATCTCAAGAGGTACGTGCCCAGTACCAGGCCCTGTTCATGGTACTGGAGACGCAGGGCCGAGCTTGGAGCCAGAGAACAAACAGGTAAATAAATATATAAACAGGTAAATAATATATAACAGGTAAATAAAGATCATTACAGGCTGGGCGTGGTGGCGCATGCCTGCGGTCCCGGCTACTCAGGAGGCTGAGGTGGGAGGACCACTGGAGCCCAGGAGTTCCAGGGCAATGACCACACCACTACACTCCAGCCTGGGCGACAGAGTGAGACCCTGCCTCAATAAAAAAAGAAAAAAAGATCATTCCAGATTGCCAAAAGGGCCTTTAAGAAATGGACAGGGGAGATAAGAAGTAGCAGGGTGGGGTGCTGCTCTAATGAAGGTGCAGGCTGGGCCCTGAACGGTGAGAAAGAGTCAACCATTTGAAAGCAGAGGGAGGTTGTGCAAAGGCCCTGGGGTTGGCCAGCAAGGAGACTGTGCGGGGGCAGAGGGCTGAGAGGCAGGAGATGTGGTGGGAAGGAGGCAGGCAGCTCACGAACTATGCATCATTCATCATCATCATGTGTGTCTTTCTTTTCTCTCACCCATTTGCCTGTCTGTCTGCACACCCACAACTGTGCACACCTCCCCTGGGTCCATGAGGCAGGCTCAAAATGGGGGGCTCCCTTCTTCCTCCACTCCAGTCCCTCAGAGATGCCAGTGGAAGCCCACGGCCTTCGGGGTGAGTAGCCAAGGGCAGTACGGGTCCCTCTACAGCCCAAGGGCCCAGCACAGGAACTGGCACAGAGCAGGGTCTCGGGGACGGTCCAGGAGGGACCCAAAGGCTCCTTCCTAACCAGCATTGGAGCCCCAAGCCTTGGCTGCCATCCGCCGTGCACTTGGCATGTGCCAAGCACCTCGCCGGCGCAGCAGGAAATGGCTACACTCACGCTCACCAGACAATGGAGGAAACTGAGGCACAGAGAGCACAAGTGACTGGGGGGCGGGAGCCTTGACCGCCACCCAGCCAGCCTCCCGCGGCCATCTGGGCTGGGGAGCAGCTGGGGCGGCCAGAGCGGGCCTGGCTGAGGGCCAGCCCCGTCCCCAGCAGGCCGCACAGAGTGGAGCAGTGGATGGCCTCGGCGTGGGGGAGGGCTGGGTCAGAGTCCAGCTGCAGAGAAAACAGCTGGGGGTGGGTGGCCCGGCACCCAGTAGCTGGCTCTGAGCCACGCCACGTCTGCCCCCCCACACACACACACAAGGATGGGGCACACAGCAGCCCCAGCCCCAGCCGCCAGCATGGGCCCGGCCCCAGCTAGAGAAGGCTCCTAGCAATGCTAGGCGTGACCCTGGAGTGTCCCCAGGAGAAGGCAGGGCCCACCCTGTGACCAGCCTTCAACTCCGGATGGCTGGGGGAGGGGGAGGGTTGCTGGCAGGAGACTCTGGGCCAGACCTGAGATGGGCCTCTGGCCTGCCACCAACTCAGACCAAATGTCACACCCAAGGCAGCACGTCACGATGGCTGGGTTGTGTGTGCACATGCGTGCAGGTGTCCGTGTGCACATCATTACAGGGCACATCTGTATCTGCACGTGTATGTCGGTGTGTGCTCCTGTGTCCGTGTGTGTGAGGTATGTCTATGAGCACATCTGAAACCACACGTGAACCATGCTGCTGTCTGCGCATGCGCACACCTGGGGACGGGGTGGGGGGGCCACGCTGGGTGCCAGTGGCTGGAGGCCTGCAGTGGCACCAGAGGACCCTGACAAATGCAGCCTCCTGTTCCTGGAGCCAGGCTTCACACAACTGGGCTCCTTTCATCCCCATGTCACTGATGGGAAAACCTAGACACAAAGTGTCAAGTACCTCACCCAGGGTCACGCAGCTAATTAAAAAACTGGTGAAATACTGAGTGTCAGACAGTGGAAATGCCAGGGGAGAAAGCTAGTGGGGGACAGGGATGGGGCGGGACTGTACATACAAAGCAGGTGGCCGGGATAGGTGAGCAGCTGGCCATGTGCATCCCCCAACCCCCACCCTCCCTGTTTTGCTGAGTGCCAGGCCAAGGGAGGGGGTCCAGGCCAGGGGAGGCAGGAAGCCACTCCCACCCTGCCCCTGGGAACGGGTGTGTCAGCAGGGCCTTCAGTCTAAGAACTGGTGGGAGAAGGGGGCCTCAGCCCAAAATAGCCTGGGAATTTTCCATAGCTCTGCAGCTCCTGGAAGGTTCTGGGAGTTCCGCAGGCACAAGGCTGTGGCCTTGCCACCCTCCTCAGCTCACCCCCTTATCTGGGGACTTAGCACCCGTCGTGCAGCGCCCCTGCGTCAACCTCCAGGGCCCCTCTGTCCAGGCTCGGCTGACCCACCCTGCTCTCCCCCACCCTCCTGGCCTGCGAGCCCCCCAGCATCGAGGGTGTCTCCCCTTAGCCACATCCAGGCGCTCAGGCCACGGAGGGGAGCCTGTCAGCGCCATGGGCCACGCACACACCTTGGAGAGAGGGGGTTCATTTCAGGAGGCTCACGCTTGGTAGCTTCCCACCCTTCCTGGAAGGTGGAGGGGAGTGGGGGGCACAAAATGGGGGTGTCGTGAGCTCTGGGTTTCTGGCTGGGGAAGGCAGGGCTGGGCATCATGCCGGGACAGCTCTACACTGAGGGCAGGGGACGGGGCAGGCTGCAGAGGACCAGCCCGGGAGGGGAGGTCGGGGAGGGGTGGCCTCCACCCACTGCCCATGCCGGGCACTTAGGCTTCGAGTCAACACGTTTATCATCCCCATCCTACAGGTGTGGAAACTACTGCGGCACAGAGAGGTGGAAACCGAGGCTTCTGTGTCTTTAGCTCAGTCAGGAACCTTCGGGAAGCGTGTTCACATGAGGACTAGGGCGGACCAGGTCTGGACAGGCCTGACACTCCGCCTGCTGGTCCAGAGAACGGAGCTGCCCCCAGCCCCAGGCTCACCTGTGCAAGAGGGTGGGAGAGAAACTGGGCAGGGGGTAGAGGGGGGCGGCTCTAGAAGAATCACAAAGTTACCCTAGTGCACCAGGGTTCTGCTCTGTAAACTGAGGCAGAGACGCTGTCCCACCCCCATGACCACCCCACACCCCAGCCGAGCGCCAGGCTGGCAGAACTGAGGGCACGTGGGCGGAGGGGCGGGTCAGCTGAGCCCGGACCGAGGGGTCCTGCAAGCGACAGAGGCGGAGAAGCAGCCAGAGGTTGACGCAGCACCGGCGGCCTCGCCACATTCCCCTCCATTGTTCCGGGGAGAGCGGCGGGTCCGCGAGGGAGGGGAGGGGGGGAGAGGACGGAAGGAGGGGCGGGGCGGGGGCGGCCATGCCGGAGCTCCCCTCCCCAGCTACCGACCCGACCCGAGCCCAGCACGCGCGGGGAGGGCGCGGCGCCCCCCACCCCTCCAGGCCCAACCCGCCGGGAACAGCTCTTGCTGGGAAGAGGCCGTTAAGCGAGCACCAGCGTAGCAGGCACCGAGGGGGCGGGGGCCGCCGAAGCCCCCGGACGGCCACGCCCGGCAGCGGAGAGCCGGCCGCCCGTGCGCCTGCCCGCAGCTGGGCAGCCCGGGCCCAAGCCCGCTCCTAACAAGGACCTGCGCCGCCCCCATTCAGTCGTCCCTACAGAATCGGCACGCTGGAGTTTCCCGCCCGACTCCGCTCTCCACTCCCTCTGCGGCCCCCTGGCCAAGGGACCTCACCGCTCCAGGCCTCAGTTTCCTCATCTGACAAAGGGGACAGGAATGGTGCCGCGCCCGGGGCCGCGGGTGTAGACGGTGCCAGCTACAATGCCAGGCACGCGGCGGGCTCGGCCGACAATAGTTGTGCGGCGGGTGGTGGAACTGCCAGGCATGGGGCCATCTGAAATAATCCTCCCTCCCACTCCTGCCCGTGCTGATGGGACACAAACCAAATGTCCTGACGCTGCCACTTCGCGGGACAAAGACCGTTCCCTCCCGCCCCTCCCATCATCCACCCCAGGGCACCCATCATCCCACCCAGGACCCCAAGACCATCCCCCACCCCCGCCGGCTATCTCGGCTCTCCCGACCCCAAAGCGCCAATTGCCAATTCCCGCCCGGATGCGGGACTCCGTGCCAGCCCAGGAAGGCTCCGGGCGGTGGGAGGGGGCAGACGGCGCCCTGGAGTGGAGGGGAGGCCCGGCCCGGCCCTGGGAGGGCTGGGCTGAGCTGAGCCTGATAGGACCACTCCGAGGGTGGGGACACATCACCCGCAGAGGACCTGCAAGCGCAGAGCGCGGCCGGAGAGCGTCGCGGGGGACCACAGGAAGCCCTGCTGGAAAGTCTGGGACTTAGATGACAATGGGGACAGCAACGGAGGATCTGAAGCCAGGGCTTGATGTGAACCCATTGTTTTCACAAGTTCTCCCTGGCTCTGGAGTGGCAAATACGTTAACCTCGCAGACTGGGCACAAAGAGAGGCTGGGAAGTATCAAAATAGCAAGTTAAAAACAAATACTGATAGTAGCTCACGTTTCTCCTGGCACTGGGCTGGCCATCTCCTTTGTTCTCCACGCCCCCCCCCACTTTACGCAAGGAACAGTTACACCCCCATCTGCAGACGGGGAAACTGAGGCTCTGAGAGGCTCTCCTATTTCGCAGTGAGCATGGAGGCCCCTCCCCCCACACACCACACATCCACGACACCCCGCCACCCGAAAAGCTGCGCGGCCAGAGCTTCCTTTTCAAAAAACCGGTCTGACGGGTGGGGGGCACGCTGGGTGCAGTGGCTGAGCTGCAGTGGCACCAGAGGACCCTGACAAATGCAGCCTCCTGTTCCTGGAGCCAGGCTTCACACAACTGGCTCCTTTCATCCCCATGTCACTGATGGGAAAACTAACACAAAGTGTCAAGTACCTCGCCAGGGTCACGCAGCTAATTAAAAAACTGGTGAAATACTGAGTGTCAGACAGTGGAAATGCCAGGGAGAAAGCTAGTGGGGACAGGGATGGGCGGAACTGTACATACAAAGCAGGTGCCGGGATAGGTGAGCAGCTGGCCATGTGCAGCCCAAACCCCCACCCTCCCTGTTTTGCTGAGTGCCAGGCCAAGGGAGGGGGTCCAGGCCAGGGAGGCAGGAAGCCACTCCCACCCTGCCCCTGGGAACGGTGTGTCAGCAGGGCCTTCAGTCTAAGAACTGGCGGGAGAAGGGGCCCTCAGCCCAAAATAGCCTGGGAAATTTTCCATAGCTCTGCAGCTCCTGGAAGTTCTGGGAGTTCCGCAGGCACAAGGCTGTGGCCTTGCCACCCTCCTCAGCTCACCCCTTATCTGGGGACTTAGCACCCGTCGTGCAGCGCCCTGCGTCAACCTCCAGGGCCCTCTGTCCAGGCTCGGCTGACCCACCCTGCTCTCCCCGCCCTCCTGGCCTGCGAGCCCCCCAGCATCGAGGTGTCTCCCCTTGCCACATCCAGGCGCTCAGGCCACGGAGGGGAGCCTGTCAGCGCCATGGGCCACTCACACACCTTGGAGAGAGGGGTTCATTTCAGGAGGCTCACGCTTGGTAGCTTCCCACCCTTCCTGGAAGGTGGAGGGGAGTGGGGGGCACAAAATGGGGGTGTCGTGAGCTCTGGGTTTCTGGCTGGGGAAGGCAGGGCTGGGCATCATGCCGGGACAGCTCTACACTGAGGGCAGGGGACGGGGCAGGCTGCAGAGGACCAGCCGGGAGGGAGGTCGGGAGGGGTGCCTCCACCCACTGCCCATGCCGGGCACTTAGGCTTCGAGTCAACACGTTTATCATCCCCATCCTAACGGTGTGGAAACTACTGCAGCACAGAGAGGTGGAAACCGAGGCTTCTGTGTCTTTAGCTCAGTCAACCTTCGGGAAGCGTGTTCACATGCGGATAGGGCGGACCAGGTCTGGACGGGCCTGACACTCCGCCTGCTGGTCAGAGAACGGAGCTGCCCCCAGCCCAGGCTCACCTGTGCAAGAGGGTGGGAGAGAAACTGGGCAGGGGTAGAGGGGGGAGGCTCTAGAAGAATCACAAAAGTTACCCTAGTGCCAGGGTTCTGCTCTGTAAACTGAGGCAGAGACGCTGTCCTACCCCCATGACCACCCCACACCCCAGCCGAGCGCCAGGCTGGCAGAACTGAGGGCACGTGGGCGGAGGGGCGGGTCAGCTGAGCCCGGACCGAGGGGTCCTGCAAGCGACAGAGGCGGAGAAGCAGCCAGAGGTTGACGCAGCACCGGCGGCCTCGCCACATTCCCTCCATTGTTCCGGGGAGAGCGGCGGGTCCGCGAGGGAGGGGAGGGGAGGACGGACCGCGAGGGAGGGGAGGGGAGGGGGGGAGAGGATGAAAGGGGGGGCGGGGCGGGGGCGGCCATGCCGGAGCTCCCCTCCCCAGCTACCGACCCGGGCCCAGCACGCGCGGGGAGGGCGCGGCGCCCGCCCAACCCCTCCAGGCCCAGCCCGCCGGGAACAGCTCTTGCTGGGAAGAGGCCGGAAACGCGAGCACCAGCGTAGCAGGCACCGAGGGGGCGGGGGCCGCCGAAGCCCCCGGACGGCCACGCCTGGCAGCGGAGAGCTGGCCGCCCGCGCGCCCGCCCGCAGCTGGGCAGCCCGAGCCCAAGCCCGCTCCTAACAAGGACCTGCGCCGCCCCCATTCAGTCGTCCCTACAGAATCGGCACGCTGGAGTTTCCCGCCCGACTCCGCTCTCCACTCCCTCTGCGGCCCCCTGGCCAAGGGACCTCACCGCTCCAGGCCTCAGTTTCCTCATCTGACAAAGGGGACAGGAATGGTGCCGCGCCCCGGGGCCGCGGGTGTAGACGGTGCCAGCTACAATGCCAGGCACGCGGCGGGCTCGGCCGACAATAGTTGTGCGGCGGGTGGTGGAACTGCCAGGCATGGGGCCATCTGAAATAATCCTCCCCTCCCACTCCTGCCCGTGCTGATGGGACACAAACCAAATGTCCTGACGCTGCCACTTCGCGGGACAAAGACCGTTCCCCTCCCGCCCCCCTCCCATCATCCCACCCCAGGGCACCCATCATCCCACCCCAGGACCCCAAGACCACTCCCCCCACCCCCCGCCGGGCCTATCTCGGCTCACCCGACCCCAAAGCGCCAATTGCCAATTCCCGCCCGGATGCGGGACTCCGTGCCAGCCCAGGAAGGGCTCCGGGGTGGTGGGGGAGGGGAGCAGACGGGCGCCCTGGGAGTGGAGGGGGAGGCCCCGGCCCGGCCCTGGGGAGGGCTGGGCTGAGCTGAGCCTGATAGGACCACTCCGAGGGTGGGGACACATCACCCGCAGAGGGACCTGCAAGCGCAGAGCGCGGCCGGAGAGCGTCGCGGGGGACCACAGGAAGCCCTGCTGGAAAGTCTGGGACTTAGATGACAATGGGGACAGCAACGGAGGATCTGAAGCCAGGGCTTGATGTGAACCCATTGTTTTCACAAGTTCTCCCTGGCTCTGGAGTGGCAAATACGTTAACCTCGCAGACTGGGCACAAAGAGAGGCTGGGAAGTATCAAAATAGCAAGTTAAAAACAAATACTGATAGTAGCTCACGTTTCTCCTGGCACTGGGCTGGCCATCTCCTTTTGTTCTCACGCCCCCCCCACACACTTTACGCAAGGAACAGTTACACCCCCAATCTGCAGACGGGGAAACTGAGGCTCTGAGAGGCTCTCCTATTTCGCAGTGAGCATGGAGGCCCCTCCCCCCAGCACACACACATCCCCGCCAACCCCAGAAAAGCTGCGCGGCCAGAGGCTTCCTTTTCAAAAACCAAAGAAGAACGCTGCGTCCGCGGCCTGCAGACCCGGGCTGCCGGCGCGGCCCGCGGGAGGGAAGGTGTGGGCGCGGACACCCGCGGCGAGCGCGCCCCGCGGCTCCCCCCCCAGATGCGGCTAATCGCGCGGCGCCAGGACGGCTCCCCGCCAGGCCTGGCGACCGTCCCGCGGCCGAGCCCACAGCGGGCGCGGCCGGGGCGGGGCGGGGCGGGCGGGCGGGCGGGGGTCGGCTCCACTCCCGCGCGGTCCCCGCGCACGGGCCACCCGTTCAGGCTCCAGCCCGCTGGCAAAGCGGGAGGGCGGGCTGGGGTCTCCCTGCGCGCAGGAAACAGGTGGCCGGGCGGGAAGTGCCCCCGACGTCCGCCCCAAATCCCCCGGCGGCTACCGCACGCACCCCACCCCTAGCCCCGGCGGGAGAAGCCCGCGCTCGGCGAGCAGGCCACGGCGGCCGGGCATTTCCCAGGGGCCTAGCCCGGGGCCCCTGCAGCCCAGCTGGGGCCTCGCGCCAGGGGCTGAGCCGGGCAGCGGCGGCCCTGGAGGCCGGGCCCG